ATTATTACCTGAAAAATGTGTGTGGTTCAAGTGCATGTGCACGAGGAGTAAGGGTTTGTCAAACTTATTAAAAGACCCAGTGTGCAAATAAACTACAAGAAGCAAAGCCAGTGATACAAGTCATGCGACACAGAAGGGGTTGCCTTGGGATCTAATTAACCGACAATCTAACCACCGATAGAAACAAGATAAACAATTTCTATAAATACTCAAAAGGTAAAATCTTACCCTTTTGCTCTCATCCATGTCAGCTTTGTTTCCGACTAGTACCTTGTTGACATTGTCTGAAGCATGTTGTTCAATATTGCGAATCCAATTCCTGATATCTGTACATGTATAGAAGCTGGCTCAATAAGACCCGCAATAGATGTAGGACCCACTGTAAGAAACTCCATTCCAAAAGAAAGAGATCTTAAGCCATCCCAACAAAAGCAGTGATGAGGAGGATCAACAATAGACTAATATCACTGCCTAACCCAATGAAGGAGACGAGCATTAAAACGATGAAAATTCATCTAACAACAATGGTTTATCAATCCATATAAATTGACAATTTCACCTATATGCCAAAAACAGAATTAATAAAGCCGGAAAATTACTGTTGAAAGATGACTCATCAGTAACATCATAAACTAGCAAAATTCCCATAGCTCCACGGTAGTAAGCTGCAGAAGTGATTCATCACAAAAGTCAGACATCAAACTTTGATAGTTCTGTCGTACTAGTTTGAAAAGAAAACAAAAATCCAACCAGCACGTGCTTAAACACACCTGTTGTAATAGTTCGAAATCGCTCTTGACCAGCTGTATCCCAGATTTGCAATTTGACTCTCTTACCATCAAGCTCGATGGTTCTTATTTTAAAATCAATGCTGTCAAGGAAAATAGATAATCAATAAGAGAAAACATTCATAAAGTAATCAAACTTTTTAAATCTCAGAGAATCAGCTGAATAGATACAAGCGAAGGAGTGAACGGGTTAGAGACTCTTGCCATAAACAGTTCATTTAGCACCCTCCTGAAAAGCGTGTACAAATTTCAAGCTGAATACCAATTACCAAGGGATTGTCTAGGACAGATTAATTAAAAGTCAGATTACAGTACTAGTAAACTCCATTCCATCCCTAAAACATGTTACTTCCATTGGAAGTATCCAAATGTTGCAAATCATAGTCAGTTCTCCTCTGTTAGTCACAATACTAAGTCCCTATAGTGCTACACCGCAATTGCTCCTCTCAGCATTCACACTTCTGAAATGCCAAAACTGCAAATAACTTTGAAAAAGTAAATAATATACAGGAATTTCCAGGGATACAAACCCAATGGTCGTTATGAAGCTAGTAGTAAAGGAACCATCAGAGAAACGTAAAAGCAGACAACTCTTCCCCACTCCTGCATAAATTCAAATGAGAAAATCACAGTCGGTGATATTTAAAGTTACATAAAACTCAAGCCCAAGCATAAGATCACATAATCATTCTCTTTAACTTGTAACCCAAGCAGTACGAATTACACAGCCTGCCTCTTCAACAAATATTTGTCAAATGTAACAAAAAAAAATTATTTCCTACTCCGCAACAGATTCGGATAATGTTTCAAAGATTCCCACCATCAAGTTTTCCGTGTCACAGCACAAGAATGATACATATGCATGTCACGACGTCAAGATTCCACATCGAAGACTACAATTAAGAAAATCAACAAAAGGGTTTCCCCGACTTATTTCTTGGGGTGTATGATACTTGCTAAAAATCTACTAAAAAATATCCACTATAAGTAATACAAACACATGCACACCCTAGCTAATCCAGTAAGCATATGGCACTTCCTATATTACAATGAAATAGAGCTCCTTCCATCATGATCCCAATCTGAAAAATTGTAGAAATTAATAATGGCCAAAACCAATTTGAATAAAACCCATTTCCCTAAAACCAATGAAAAGCTCAAAAATACAAATGCAATATACAATAAATCCATAAGCAAAGTCATAACATCTCAAACGAAAAACCATATTGTTTATAGTCTCTTTCACAATGGAATCTAAGCACAATTAAATCAAAACCGTAAAAAAATGACAAGAGATCAGTGTTTTCTCAATACACATGATTTATTTTTCAAGTAATTATTGTGTTATCCAACAAATTAAAAGAAAATAAAAAGAAGTTACCACTATCGCCAATCAAAAGAAGCTTAATGAGATAATCGTAATCAGCCCGAGCTCGTGGTGCTGCCATGGATCCTCCCAAATACCACACACAAAAATCCCAATTTTAAAAAGGAAAATCCGATCTTTTCTCTTACTTATCTGCATTTATAAAAGAAAAAAATAACATTCATTTCCAAAATAAAATCAAAGGATATTATAGTAAAAATAAGAATGAAGTTGAGAAAAAGGAGATGAGACAGAGAACCTTAGACGCAGAAGGTAGCAAGCAAATGTGAGAGAAAATCCAACTAATTTGGGAATTTCATTCTTTTTTTTTTTTTGTACTTGGAATTTTCGGTTTCTTTCAATGTGATTGGCTGGAAGAACTGTTTATATAAACTCAAGCACATGGTATTATTCCTTAAGCTATTTCTTTCAACATTTTTTTGGGTAAACTAAGCTAATGGTCACTCATGTTTTAGGTAGTGTTTGTTTTCACCGTTGATGTTTAAAAAGTCACACATCGGTCACTAACGTTATCTTTTATTACAAAATGATTACTCAACGTTAACAACCGTTAATAGACGTGACGGAAAACACAACTGGACTGTTATATGCTGACATGGATCGTTGACCGCCACGCTGGACCATTTTGATCGGCTCTTCTTCTTTTTCAACCCAACCCCATCTTCTTCCTTAATCCAACCCCATCTTCTTCTTCAACACCATTTTGCCCACACACCATGCAAGACAAACTCCCTTTCACCCCATAAACAACCATTTCCCTCCCTTGCTTCACCACCACCACCATGATTTCACCTTCCTTTCTCAACATAGAAACTTTTTCTCTGCTTGATTAGGTAAACGAAAAGGAAACCTTCTCTTTTTTCTATGTTTTCACTCTACTCGTTTAGATCTGTTATTAATTGTTAGATTCTCTTTTCCATTCAGCGCATCCTCACTTCAATTCATTCAACATTTGTTTTGTTTCATTTACTCTTTTAGGCTTCATGAATCTCAATCATCAGCGCAATGGCTTCCTTTGAAATGAACGATCGAATGAGTAAGATGCATTTTATTTACCTTTTTGCGCCTTTTTCGCTTCCTTCCATTCAGTTAACGCATCTACGAATCTTTTATATTCATGACGCTCTTGAAATGCAGTTTAATGAGCAATTCCTAAAAAAAATAGTGAAATACAAATCTTTAGACTTGCTTATTCGATTCACTCTATATTACCTTCTAAGATTGGAATGTCTTTAAATGCTCGTTTTATTTTACATCGTGTCAATTTTCCAATGGTTTGAAGTGCTTATTTATTTCGAACTTTAAATGTATTTGATGAATTAAAGTGTGAGCTCCAGTTTTACTTTGAAACTAAAGATGTTTGCTGATAAAATTATATATTCAACTGCATGGAAAGAGGCTAAGTGGCAATTTGTGTGCTCATTTTCATGCAGTTAACTTCCATACAATATTAATTCTAGAATTATGAAAAACAGAAATTGAGCTAGCATTAACTGGATTTGGCATATTTTTTCATTTCTCGGAATTATCTTCTTTTTCTACAAGGGATTGCTTGCCATGGGAAATGTAAGCTAACTTCTATTACCTTGTGTCCACTTTGCATAACTTATATTTTCATATGTTTTTGACTAACATTGCCTTCTTTTTTCTGTTAACCTGATTCTTTTCTTATCAGGAGTAACCTAATCAAGCAGGGAAATCATGGTGGTGGTGGTGAAGCAAGGGAGGGAAAGGGTTGTTTTTGGGGATGAAAGGTAGTGTCTCTTGCATGGTATGTGGGCAAAATGGTGTTAAGGAAGAAGATGGGGTTAGGTTGAAGAAGAAGAAGAGTCGGTCAAAATGGTCCAGCTGTGGCGGTCAACGATCCATGTCAGCATATAACGATTCAGTTGTATTTTCTGTCACGTCTATTAACGACTGTTAACGTCGAGTGATCATTTTGTAATAAACGATAACATTAGTGATCGATTTGTGACTTTTTAAACATCAGTGGTGAAAACGAACACTACCCCAAACATGAATGACTATTGGCGTAGTTTACCTTTTTTTTGGGATAAGTTAAGCTAAAAATTTTGAAAACTAAAAATAAGATAAAATGTTTTAAAATAAACCAGTTTAAAATATTAGTATGTGTACTTGTTTGTTTGGATAAATATTTTTAAATTGAATTTACCATTATTAACTTCATAAATAAAAAAGGGTAAAGTATAGTAATGGTCAATGAACTTTTCTAAAGCTTTCATGTAGGTCTTCCAACTTTTAAAACTTACAATACAGTCCCTCAACATTTAGTCCGTTTGCAATATGGTCCCCCAACAGTTACGTTAGGACCATATTGCAAACGAAATAAATGCTGAGGGACCATATTGTAAACGGACTAAATGATGGGGGACTGTATTGCAAGTTTTAATAGTTGGGGACCTAAATGAAAGCTTTAGAAAAGTTTAGTGACCATTACTATACTTTACCCATAAAAATATATCTTATTATCTTTTTGAAAGTTAAAATTTATAGATTTTGACTATGTTATTTTAAATATTAAAATTTATTAAATATTTATTTTAAAACTACTTGATTAAAATTCCTAAAATATTTTTAATATTTTTAATAATATTAAATTTTAAATGATAATAAATAAATAAAAATTAATTTAAAAAAAAGTCAATAAGGAATAATTTAAGTAGAGTACCATTTTTTAAGCAGGAAACGCGATAGGGTTGAGCTGCATCCTTCAAAAACCTCACACAACGGATATGACATGAGCTTCGAAAACATATGGCCTCTAGCAGAGGACGCTTCAGATAACAAAACTGGAACCTAAATAACATAATCCAACTATAAAAACTGCATTCGGACCACAACAGTCCTTGGCTACTGCCCTTAATCCTTTACTTACCCTTTCTCCTTTCCTCAAGGATAACATTCCCTCTTCAACCCCATGGATTTCATGCAAACCCATCTCAGCGTCAATCCCAGCTCTCCCTGTTTCCCACTTCACTCCACAGAGAGGACTGCTTGCACCATCTGTTTCCTTCAATCCTTCAGGAAATTTTGACCTCTCCTTTTATGGTGATGCGGATGGTAAGAAACTGAATTCAATTACTAAACTTTGTTCCACGCTAAGGTTATGTGGTTTCTTTTGTTTTTTGTTCCCACTTTTAGCTCACTCTCGAGTTCATCTTAGCTGTAAAAAGTTACCCAGATTTCTGGAAATTGGAGGGTTGAATTGTGGCTAGGAATATAAAAGTAGATGAGGGTTTAGTTTCTTCATGCATCCGAAACTGTTTCTTGACAGATTCCACTCAAGTAGAGCCTCCAATGCCTCCAAGTGAAGGTCGAATTGAAGTGATTATTGATAATGATGTTATAAGCCGGCTTGATTTGTCCCCATTTCAGAATGCTACAGGAATCACTTCACCTTTATCTGGTATGGATCGTAGAAAAAAGACGCCAATTTTACTTTTATTTCGATCATGTTGTTGTTTGATTAATGAATTATGGAACTGATGTTCCCAGCTGAACCAAAAGAGTATCTGGAAAAGACAATAGGGTTTACAATTAATTATAGGGTAAAGTATAGTAATGTCACTGAACTTTTCTAAATCTTTTATTTAGGTCTCCCAACTTTTAAAACTTGCAATACAGTCTCCCAACATTTAGTCCATTTGCAATATGGTCCCTTAACATTTGGTCCGTTTGCAATATGGTCCCCGACGTAACTGTTGGGAGACCATATTGCAAACGGACTAAATGTTGGGGGATTGTATTGCAAGTTTTAAAAGTTAGGGGACCTAAATAAAAGATTTCAAAAAGTTCAGTGACCATTACTATACTTTACACTAAAAAAAATTTATAAAATGAAAATGATGAATCAATGATAGTAAAACAAAAGGTAAACTATGCATTTAGTACATATCCTATTAGTTTTGGTTTATTTTAGCACCTCAACTTTTAAATTTTTTCAAAACAATACATAATGTTTAGTTTTTATTTCATTTTAGTATCCTGTCGTTAAAAACTTAATGCATTTAGTACCTAAACTATCAGTTTTTGTTTGTTTTAGTACCTAAACTTTTAACCTTCTCAAAACTTAATGTTAAATTTTGAACATGTACTAAAATGAAACAAAAATCAAAGTTTTTAACGGTGAATACTAAAATGAAACAAAAATTAAATTTTAGGTATGATATTGAAAAAAAATAAAAGTTTAGATACTAAAACGGACCAAAACTAATAATTTAAATACTAAACACGTAATTTACCCAAAAATTAAAAGAGAGTATACAGTACAAAATCAAGAAACATAAGTTCCGTTTAAAACGTTCCTTGTTCGTCATGATTTTATCCCAACAGATGAGCCAAAGGAAAACTTTCACCTTCTGCATCCCTTTGTATTTGTGAATAGCAGCCCAGACCGGATCCTTTTCCTCATCATTTGGAGCTATGGGAATTTTATAAGTAGTTTTAATAGAAAAAACTAAGTCTGAACTCCTTTTCCACCCCCAAAGTATCATCACAATTGTCCTTTCTCGGGTCGTTAATAGCAGCCAATCGCAAAAGCACGTGCATTGGAAGACACTCTTCAAGATTTTCCCATTTCCAATTCCCATTAGAATCGGACATACTTGCAACAGTTGCATTCATTGTAGCAATATTGTTAATGTCGTGGACATAATTAACCAAGGGACCCAGCTCTGTGACCCAATTATCATACCAAAAAGTAATGTCGCGCCCATTACCAACAATGTGTAATGTTACTACACACGTCCTGCCACACGAGGCTAACACCTTTCCATAGTATCGAACAATTATGGTTACGAATATGCGTCGGAACCTCTTCATTGCATTTATATTTTGACCGCAACAAACGAACCCATAAAGCATCTTTTTGGGCTATGATGTTGAAGGCTATTTTCGTTATGAATGCCTCGTTTTGAATGTGCAATTTACGGAAACCAAGCCCGCCATTGACCACCGGTTGAAAGACATTCTCCCATTTAACAAGCAGGATACCCCCACGATCCGCAGATTTGCCCCAAATAAATTCTCTAATCAATTGTTACAATTCCATACAAATCTTCTTAGGAAGCATCACCGTTTGCATAGTATAAGTCGGGATAGCAGCTAGCACGGCTTTAGCAAGAGTTATTCGTCTGACAAGTGACAAAGTTTTCGCCTTCCACCCACTCAACTTGCTTTGGACCATTTGCACGAGATAATTATAATAAGCATTAGTGACACGGGGATGCAAAAGCGGCACCCCCAAATATTTACCAAGATCATCAACCCGGGTAAAACCAAAAACCCGACTAATGTGATTTTGAGCATCCATTGGAACATTTTTTTGAGAAGAAGATCGTAGTCTTAGCCACGCTAATTTTATGGCCCGAGACACTACAAAAGCGGCCAAGCACCCTTTGGATAACATTAAGTTGTTGAATCGACGACTCCATAAATAACACTAAATCATCCGCAAAAAACAGATGAGAGATACATGGGATATTCTTTGTAGTTCGAAACGATTTCCAGTTGCCATTGTTAACTTCAACTTGAATAGCTTGGGCAAGTGTTCAACGGTTTACCCCATCTGGTTTGTGGCGTGGGCTCGGAAGATGTTGATCATGTTTTTCGCAAGTGTTCAACGGTTTACCCCATCTGGTTTTCTTTGATAAAGGATAACAAGTTTGAGGAGTTCATGGTGATAAGGATTAAAGATTGGATTCGTTTAAATTATCGAACCCGTCTTACTTTGCGATGGATGACAAGGAGTTGGAGAGTTTGTTCGGGGCTCTTCTATGGAACATATGTTATAGAAATTCAATTGTTTTTGGGAACCCCTTGAATGATTTTGGTGGAATTGTGGAAAGGAGTAAATGGCTGCAAATGTTTACTTGCAAGGCCTTCGAGTTAAATAAAAGCAGTAATTCGAATCAACCTGGTAGAATTGAAGGTAATGTGCAGTGGTGGCCAACTCTTGATAATTGGATTAAGGTCAATATTGATGGTGCTAGATGTGATAGTAGTGGAATGGCATCTTGTGGGGTGTGATTCAGGATCACAATGGATTGTGGATGTTGTGATAGGGAAGCGGTGGCGGGTTAATGAACGTTGCTCTTGTTGAAGAATCAAACCTATAAAGCTCTAGACTCGATGAAGAACAATAAGCAATGAATAGGGAAGGTGGTAATAATAGCTAGGGTTCTTTAGGGTTTCTTTTAGGTGCTGGAAACAAGGTAAGAAACAAGATTAAAACAAGATAAACAAAAGATAAAGTAATTGAAAATAAAGTAAAATAACCAAGAAATCAAGAGATCTCCCTTATGAAAGTGAACGGTAAAGACGATTGATGGCGTGGATGGATATGTGGAAAATTGATGGATAATGTCCTATCGAGCCCTCCTAGTCGCAATTAAAAGGAAAACACGATAATATGGCTCTAACCAACCCTCCTAGTCGTAATGAAAAGGTAAATTGGAGTGTGAAGATTAATCTCCCTCACAAGAACTTGAAAGAACTCAAGGAGAAGAAGCTTCGAAGGCACAAGGCAATCAACACTTGCAAAAACGAACTCTAGTTGTATTATTAATCAAAGAAATCTGATTTACAAAGTTGAATGAAACCTCCTTTATATAGGGGCTGAGTTCTAAAGGTCCTAAATAACTAAAGAATAAAATAATAATAAACTAAACATGTCTTAACTCTAATTCCTAATAAAATAATAATAACTAAAAATATTGTTTTAACTCAACCTTAATTCCTAATAAAATAATAAATCTGATCATAAAAGATACTTCATCATCCTATATTAAATTATATTACAAATAATCAATATAAATATTGAAAATTCGTAATATTTACAAAATCACGTATTAATCTCGTATAGGATTTCCTGAATGCACCATCTTCAGTAAAATGGTCATATCTTGAGTTCTCGATATCGGATTGATGCGATTGAAAAACCGTTGGAAAGATAAGAGATAGACGGTTGTATCTCCAGAAGAAATGTTGACCGTATAACAATTGGATAACCTTCAAAAAGTTTTTGTAAATCTGATTCTATTAGACCCTTATGGATGAATGCTTGAACTGCGATTTGAAGCTTGTCTTTAAGAAGTTTGGTCCGACTTCGTGTGATAGGGCCAAGTGGTATAGTAAATTCATCATCCTTAGCTTTAGGGTGTGTGGTGCATGTATCATCTCCCCCTTCCTTAAAAGGATCCGTCCACGAATCTAAAATATCAAAAGGAGATAAGTCAGAAACATTAAAGGATGCACTCATGTTATACTCACCGGGAAGATCAATGCGGTAGGCATTGTCATTAATTCGTTCAAGGAATTGGAATGGGTCATCGCCTCATGGGTCTAGTTTTGATTTCCTTTGTGTCAGGAACCTCTCTTTTCTCATGTGAACCCATACCCAATCTCTTGGTTCAAAGGTGACATGTCGTCGGCCCTTGTTAACTCGATTTACAATTGCCTCGTAGGTTTTCTCCATCTTGAGTTTAGTTTTGGTGTGAATGTCTTTGACAAGGGCAACCTTCTTTTCACCATCTAAAATGGCAACCTGATCTAAAGGTAAGGGAATAAGATCCAAAGTAGTTTATGGGTTAAAACCATAAACTATTTTGAATAGAGAATAATCTGTTGTGGAGTGAATGGATCGGTTATAAGAAAACTCAACAAAAGGTAAACATTCTTCCCAATTACGAGTATTCTTACCAACCATAGTTCTTAGCAAAGATCCTAGAATCCAATTTATTACTTCGGTTTGTCCATCGGCTTGAGGATGACAAGAAGTGGAATAGAGAAGTTTTATGCCAATCTTACCCCATAATACCTTCCAAAAATGGCTTATGAACTTAGTGTCATGATCGAACACAATGGTGAGAGGAATGCCATGAATGCAGACTATTTCTCGAAAGAATAAATCAGCAGTGTGTGTGGCATCGTCCGTTTTATGGCAAGGAATGAAGTGTGTTATCTTTGAGAATCTATCTATAACCACAAAAATACTATCTAGTCCTTTCTTAGTGCGGGGTAAGCCAGGTATAAAATCTATCGATAAATCGATCCAAGGAGAAGAAGAAATCGGTAAAGGCGTGTACAAACCATTAGGATTTACCTTTGACTTTGCTTGTTTGCAAGTGATGCATGATACACAAATATTTTCCACTGTTTTACGCATGTGCGGCCAAAAGAAGTTTTCTATGACCATATCGAGTGTTTTGTGAACACCGAAGTGTCCCATGAGTCCTCCGACATGTGACTCGTGAACCAAGAACTATCGCAAAAAACCTTGTGGTATACATAACCTGTTCATACAAAAAAGAAAGCTATCTACAAGATAAAACTTGTTAAAAACACCTTTTACACATTGTTTATAAATCTCAGAAAAATCTGGATTGTTAGGATAAAGTTCTTTGATATGTGCAAAACCCAGAATAGTAGCATGCATTTGAGTGATAAGTGTGTATCGTCGAGATAATGCATCAGCTACGATGTTATCTTTCCCTTGTTTATATTTGTTGATATAAGTAAAAGATTCAATGAACTCAACTCATCGAGCATGTTGTTTTTTTAACTTACCTTGTCTATTTAACCATTTGAGTGATTCATGGTTTGTGTGAATGACAAACTATTTAGGGAGAAGATAGTGTTGCCACACTTCGAGTGCTAGGACGAGTGCAAGAAGTTCCTTGTCGTAGGTAGAGTAGTTCAATTATGCACCTTTTAACTTTTCACTAAAGTAAGCGATAGGTTATCTTTCTTGCATGAGGACGACACCAATGCCTATGCCTGAAGCATCACATTCTAGCTCAAATGTGTTAGAAAAATTGGGAAGACGAATAATAGGGGCAAAACATAACTTATCTTTAAGAAGTTCAAAAGCTTTTTGTTGTAGTGGTCCCCATTTGAATTCAATTGACTTTTTGATGATCTCGGTTAATGGTGCAGCAATAGTTGAGAAATCTTTGACAAAGCGATGGTAAAAACTTGCCAAACCATGAAAAGATCTTACCTCAGTGATGGAAGTAGGCGTAGGCCATTCTTGAATTTCCTTGACCTTCTCTTTATCTACATGGATACCCTGTACACTAACTATAAAGCCTAAAAACATAAGCTTATCACTGCAAAACACACACTTATCCATGTTAGCATATAAATGTTCTCGTCGAAGAATTTCGAGAACCATTTGAACATGAATGACATGAGAGTCAAGAGAAGATGAGTATATAAGAATGTCATCAAAGTAAACGACAACAAATTTACCTATAAACTCTTTAAGAACGTGACTCATTAATCTCAAGAAGGTGCTTGGAGCATTTGTGAGTCCAAAGGGCATAACAAGCCATTCATACAAGCCGAACTTTGTCTTGAATGTTGTTTTCCATTCGTCACCTTCTTTCATTCGAATTTGATGGTAACCACTCTTCAAGTCAATTTTGGTGAAGATACTTGCACCATGTAGTTCATCTAACATATCATCTAGGCATGGAATAGGATGTCTATACTTAATTGTTATCCGATTGATAGGTCGACAATCTACACACATTCAGAATATGCCATCTTTATTTGGAACTAGGATGAAGGGAATCGCACAAGGATTAAGACTCTCACGGATGTGTCCTTTTTGTAACAATGAATCTATTTATCGTTCCAATTCTTTCGTTTCCTCAGGATTGCATCGGTAAGCGGGGCGGTTTGGTATGGTTGATCCAGGGATGAAGTCGATTTGATGTTCGATTCCTCTTGTAGGTGGTAAACCATCCGATGGGTTGCTTAAGACATCTTGAAACTCCTGCAATAGAGAAGAAAATACACTAGGCAAATATGTGATGTTAGTGATAGTTGATAAAACAGAGTTCTTAAAACGGACTAGAATGTACGTCCTATTTTGAAAAAGGGTTTGTAATGGCATAAATATTTTGAGACACTCTTTTATTTTCACATTGAGGGTCACTCACCACTTGTGGGTCATTTGTTTGGCTTTTATCGGTTGTGGCCTCTTTTGCCTTTTGTTTCAAATTCCTTGTCTCATTGAGAATTCATTGTTAATCTATGAGAATCTCTTTGGGGGGGGGGGTAGAGGGTTAAGTCGGAACGGTTTACCTTTTATTGGAATTGTATAAGTGTTCTTTCGACCATAATATGTGACGTCGTTATCGTATTGCCAAAGACGTCCTAGGAGAATGTGGGATGCTTGCATCGGAATTACATCACACCATATGTCATCACAATACTTTCCCATCTTGATATTAACGAGACATTGTTTAACAACCTTCATCTCGGCACTCACATTAAGCCATTGTAAGCAATAAGGTTTCAGATGTCTTTGGCAAGGAAGTTTTAGTGATTCAACAACGTTGGAGCTAATGACGTTGACATAACTACCATTGTCAATAATGGTGGAGAATGGTTGTTCCTTGATTAGGCAGCGTGTGTGGAAGATGTTGGAACATTGTATATCAGACTCGTCGGATGCTTGGATGTTCAAGGTATGACGGATCACCAAGATTGTGCCATTGTTCTCATCACTTCCATAGTCATCACTATCTTCTTTGGTTTTAGCATGTGTTGGAATGTCGGGGATGTCGTCAACCCGGATACGAGTCCGAGATGTCACATTGACATTTCAAAACCTTTATTCTTGCAAAATAACAGAACATTT